GCCAAATTACCCTCTTGGTGGAAGCCCGTTCTCTCTTGAGCCCTCTCATCGCGGCGGCGGTGGCGGCGGCGGAGCGAGCGATTGCAGGGCTGCACCTTTGCCCTCCTTTGGTTTTTGTTTGTGAGGACGTGCGTGTTGCTGTTGGCACAGTGGCGGTGACGGCAACGGCGGCTTCCTCATTAGCGTTCAGCCCACGCCCGCTCACGCAGCCCCACGTGGGCCGCGCTGACCGGGCGTCTGGGTTCCTCAGCGGGCGCTCGGCTGCACCGCCGACCGCCACCTTACCCCAACGTGCCCCTTCACCTTCCGCTCGGCTCGCTCCTTCGGCTTTCGCGGTATCTCTCTCCCCGATCGGTTCCATGCCCAAACTCCCCCCCGCCCCCGCCCCCCCCCCCTCCTCTTTTTCCCGACGCGCCCGCGTGGTGGGCACGCGCCCGCGGGCCCCGGCCACCGTAGTTTCGGCGGGCCGGCGTCTCTTTGTAACCGGGCGGTGACGGCGCGGCGACCCGCGGGCTCGCGTCGATCCCTCCGCTCGCGACGTGAGCGCGCCGAGCCGAATCCGGCACGGTCGGTCGATCGGCAGCTCTCGCGCGTCTGGGCGGGGTGAAGCGTGGGCAACTCCGCACCTCTATCAAAGATGTGTGGCAAGCGTGGAAGAGTAGGCCAGCATGCCTACTAACTAAAGCGGCTCTGTAGAGTTTTTTCCTCTGGTGGAAGCCCTTCCGCCAGCAGTTGCATGGGGAAGAAATTGCAGGGCTGCGCCTGTTTTTTTTCTTGCCTTGTAGGCTCAATGCGGCTCACGCCTCGCAATAAAACTGCTGACGGCTATTGGCTTCCTGTCTCTGGCAAATCCCTTCTGCCCTCCTTCGTGTCCATTCACTTTTTCATTCCTTGCAATATCCTACTTTCTCATCTCCACGCAAGTCCTTCCGGTGGGACAATCTGCCGTGAGAATCATCTCCCGGCGGAGGAATGGGGGGGGGGGGGTGGTGGTGAATCCGCGTCCGCGAGCGGCGACGAAGGCAACGGCACGGCGTGGCGGGGGTCAAGCGGCGGCAGTGCCCGTCTTGGCAACGACGTCGCCGCCGCGCGTTGCAAGGTGCGCTGTCGTGGAGCGATGCAGTCGGGAGCACCTGACGAAATCGGCCATCGGAGATCTTGCCACCCCCCCCCACCCCTTCCCCCCCCATGTGCGTGGAAGAAAGTAAAGGGGGGGGGGGGGGGGGGGGGAGTGTCGTTGCCCCATGCCACGGTCGTTTCGGATCGTGAGTCGAGGTTTTAATTTGCATCGATTTCGCTCGGTCGATCCGGCACCCGGCTCGGAGTTGATCGGGCCAGCCGTCTCCAAAATAATCGATTCGTTGGCGCGCAATACTTGGATCGAGCAGTCGTGTGACGCGCACGCCCCCTTCTTCATTTTGATTGGCTAACGTGGGCGAGGAATCGGCGATTCCGTCGCAGTCCGCTTTTATTGTACCACGGCGCTCTGCGTTTCTCCCGTGGCCGGTGCTGGCCGCACCGCCAAAATATTTGGCACTCGTGCGTGGGAGACGCAGGACGGAATTTCGACGATGTACGTAGAAGAAGATGATGGTGATGATAAAAAGAAAGGTGATTTATCAGCACCTCCCAATTACCACGTTTGGCCAACGTAGGGTGCGAAAGAAGTTCTGCGTGCGTACGTATGTACGTACGTTATCACACTCGAGTATTTTGCGAATCGTCACGAAATGTTGAATCGGGGAACTCCGAGCCGGAGCTCAAAGTCTTTCACGTGGCAGCTTGGACGGGGTGATGGCCATGAAATGGGTGGTGACAGCCTTCAACTGTCGCTTGAAAGTGGATGATGGTGGTGCTTGGATGCTAATGCTGCTCCTGCGAGTACGCAGCAGCGGGGGAGAGAGTTCCAGATGGCTGCTGCCGGTGCAGCTGCGGAGAGATGGCACGGTCCTGGCCCTTGGTACGATGAGCAACTTGTCAGACGTTGTCGGTGGGACACGTGGGTTTACTGGTGATCATCGGACGGCGGGGGGGGGGGGGGTGAGGAGCGTGTGGGTAGGTTTGGCGGGAGACGCTGTCGGTTTTCAACGCGGCTTGGCACGGGGGGGGTGGGGGGGGGGGGGGTGGGGGGGTGACTTTGAAACTATCGCAAAGGGGCACCTCGTTTTCACAAATCGTCGTCGGGGCCACCACGTGGCGGCGCCGTTCATCGTAAAGGGAAATCTGGCTGTCGCCTGATGATGCCGCTTGTTGTAATTACTGACGAAACGTCGTACTCTGATTGTAAATGTTGTGCCTTTGCTAGTAACGAATTGGCACGTTCTGTTTACGCGACAAACCTTACCAATTGGCTTTGTCGGGCGGTGGCGGGTTTCACGACACATTTATATATTTTCGCGATCTAACCCAAAACAAACCTCTTATGGATGATGTTGGTCGCGAAAGCCTCCGACTCGGTGTTAAACTGAAGGGACGGTCGGTTTGAAAAGAGGAGCAAACGGGCGGCTCGCCCGGACGCCACCAACTGACGCCTACGGTCGGGGCCAAGAGGACTCTGCTGTTGGTTTGGGCCGCGCGCGGTCCCGTGGTATACCCGTGTGTGTGTGAATGCGTGTCGAACTTCTTTCGCACACCGTACGTAGCCAAAGGTGCGGGGGAAGGACAACACAATCAGTTCTAAAGAATTTTTTCTTTTGAAATCGAGATGATTAAAAAGTGCACAGCTCCCTTTGGCTTCCTAGCATCGGAAGGAAGAGAGCGTTCCAGATGGTCACGGAGGAGCATCTGAAAGCGCTGCGCGACGCGGTGACCACAGTCTTTGTTCGATGGCCGAGCCAAAAGCCGCAGCCGCCGCTGCAAGAATGACACCGGATTTGGTGCGATGGTGGTTTATGCTCCTTGACAAGATGAGCGAGGCATTGCAGTTCATTTGTGCTCGGCACTTGGTGTGTGTGATGAGTGCGACCGGTTATAAACATTTAGACTGGCCTGCCTACGATCCATCCTGGGTTTAACCAGGCTGGATTGTGTGAGGAGCTCACAAATCCTTGAAAGATCTGGGCAAAGTCCCATCGGTGAGCTCCTCCGGCAGGCAAGGCTGCGTTGGCTGGGTCATGTAGCCCGTATGCCCAGCCACCGCATGCCGAAACAGCTTTTGTTCGGCCGGATCGAGAAAACCCTCTTCACGACGGCAATTGGTTCGACGAAACTGGTCGTTAAGCGAGTTTAGAAAATGCACGTTATACAGGAGGTCGTGGGTTCGATCCCTAACCTCTGACGCCTGCTGTATGCGGTAGAACTCCTCTGAGCGACCACCCTTGTTAACGACTAATTGCTTAACGACGGGCCTCTATAAGATCCCAATGTGTAGTGCATAATGCTGTAATTAGCGCGCAACTTTATCTGTGATGAACGCTGCACTTTCCGTCGTTTTCATGTGGCGCCCCTCGCAATCATTTGCGGCCTTCAGGCCAGAAAAGTCACTGAAAAAAATTGCAGACGAACGACGCATTCACGCAAGCACCCGATGCTCCGTTTCGAAGTATTCAAATTAAACGTACTTGAATTGTATTACGTTTTGAATGAGATGATTGTATTTCTTCATTAAAAGCTTATATAATTTTACATCTGGAAGGCTTCATTGAAAAGGACATTTCGTGTGAGTTTTCTCTCATCGTTAAGTAGATGGCTTTGCCAGGGGTTCGGTTCGACGCGGACTTTCACCCGTTTGGGATTGCGGGATCGAGATAAGGCGACGTAGAGCTGCTGGCCGTGCGAGAAGACCGCCGTCTGCAGATCGATTCCAACGTTGTCGAACGTCTGTCCCTGCGCCTCCGTCGTTCATGCAGAGGGGGCGCGTAGGTCTGCAGCGCCCCCTCTGCATGAAAACATCGCAGAGTGCGGCGTTCATCACAGATAGATAAAGTTGTGCACTTATTATGACATTATACACTACACATTGGGTTCTATGGAGGTCCGTCGTTAAGCAATTAGTCGTTAACAGGGGGTGGTCGTTAAGAGGAGTTCTATTGTATACAGCAGGCGTCAGGGTCGGGATCGAACCCACGACCTCCTGTATACCAGGCGGGGAAGTTAACATCTCTGAGCCACCGTGGCGCCCCACTCGGCAGGCTTACTCGTGCCCTCATCGCACGAACGCTTCACGGTTGCGTGCAAGTGTCCCCCCCCCCCCCCACCTGGAGTCCGATTCTCCAAGGGAACAAAATATCGCCGCGGTGCGAGCGCGTCCCGCGGGGCGCTCTCCTGTAGACGGACCCCGAGGCCCTGCGGCGCGAGGCCTTTATCCGTAAACAAGGAAATTGCCTCCGTGGATAAATGATGACTGGCTGCGCGTCGCCGACGGTGAATATCGCCACTGCGGGTTTCCAGACACACGTGCCAATTATTTGATCCCGTCCCGGTGCCGCATGAAAGCAAACAGAATCGGCCTGCCCGTCAGGGTGGGGCTTGAAAAGATTTGACGCTGTAAATCACGTGCCCGCGCCTTTTTTGCAAACTCGCGTACAGCCAAGACTAGCTGCTGCGCCTCTCCGTGGCCCGAATCGTCCGCGCGGCGCCTCCGACAATTTGTGTAAAGGCCCCCATCGGCCCGCGCATTTGTCGCTTCTTCCCGTCGTCCACCACGGCTCGGCAACTCCTCGGTTCCCTCCGTTGTGCACGAGGAACGCAACGCCGACCTTGCTGTGGAGCCCCGCAGACTCGCGTAGACGCGCTCGCCGCGTTACGCACGGTGACGCGAGTCCGGCGACGGATCGCGCTTCGTGGCCTCGCGCTGAGACCCGTGGAGAGGCTTCGCGGAGACACCCGAGCTTGAGCGCAGTGATGGTTACGTCGACCTGCTCATCTCCCCCACCCTGCCCCTCCCCCCCCCCCCCCGTGTGTGTGGAGGGTGGGGGGGGGGCCGCCAGCTCCCCCGCGCGCGCAACCACGCGGTTCGGTACTGACTCTGCCTCGTCTCTGCGCGTCTCCGTGTGCCGCAGGTGATCGTGGTGCACGTCAATCCTGGGGAGACGTTCACGATACGAGCCAAGGATGGCTCGGTGCAGTGCATACAGGGTAAGCCACCCACCGATAACCACCACCATGACCTACCGCCACCACCACCATGGGCGGTGGCGCTGTTTACTGTTCAGTCGGCGTTGGGGCTTCGTGGCGACGCGGAACGACGCCTGGTGGAGCGAGCGGCTCGCGGTCGGGGAAGGTTTGCGAGTTTGACTCCCGGCTGGGGGGGAGGGGGTTTGACTCGGCCCATCGATAAAACCAGTAGGGGGGACTTGACCTCGCCATACGGATGTGGAATTGCAATTACTGGCTCGCCAGGTGTGAACGGGATGTTGAGCACCACGATGCCTCCGCTGTGGCTCATTCGAGCGGGAAATCGCTTGGGACTGCTTTTGTAGTTTCTTGAGCTTTCACAGAAGTGTTTATCCGAAATGAAACGACGCTTTGTCGGGGGGGGTGGACTCTGTCCAACCCACGTGGATCGAAAGCCCCATGAGCTCGCCCACGATAGGGAAAAGTGTCGTCTTGAGGCCGCGACCGTGAAATGTAGATCTGAGTCGAAACGAAGTGTAGTGTGCACTCATAAGGGGAAACGGATCAAGTAAGTTGTGCAAATGTGGCTAATTTGCGTTGCGCAAGTGCAGTGAACAAAAACGTAAAAAATTAAAAAAACCCCCGTCGCTTTCGGGAGAATTCGCTCCTAAACCGAAGCCGGTCCCTTTTTTTTTTTTGGCGAATCGCCGTGACAAAAGGGTGGCAACGCTTTTAAGTTTCCGCGAATTTTTGCGATTTATTTAAGGAAGCCGGTGAGTTTTGGAAACCTCCCCCCCCCCCCCCCAACTTCGGCATTTCCTCAACGGCAGCCACCCCCGCCATCATGTTAGGAGGAGGGGGGGGGATGGAAGGGGGGGGGCGATGTCGCTGCTGCTGCTCTGCGTAATTTCGGATTGTGTAATTGGCAAGTATGTTTTTGAGTGTTGAGAAAGTTTGTCCATTTTGGGTGACACTTGGCGTGGTTTTAAATTTAACTGTGGAAGGGAAAGCCGGTTGAACCTGGAGATAAACTGATGCCGAACAGCTTGGCGTGGTTGGCTAGGCACGGTGCGAAAGAAGGTCGAGTTAAACTAAACTATTTTTTTTATTTTACCAGGTAAGGCCACTGAGCTACGAAGCTCTTTGTCAGAAGCGACCTGGCCACAAATAATAGCTCGACAAAGTGGCTTATCGTTTTGTGGAAATTTAAAGCAGCCAAATACTCCAAACGCGTGTTGTTGATTCTAAATGTAGAGGGGAAAATCCAGAGGACCCGGAGAAAATCAACACGACCACGGGGAGAGAGACACGCAAACTCCAAATATAAACCCACGACCTCCTGTATACCAGGCGTGACACCCCCAACACACAACGTACAAACGGCACACAGAGAGTCACCCGGGTCGAGAATCGAACCTCAGGGGCTCGGCGCTGTGAAGCGTGTGCGGTGTTCCCACCACCGCCCATGTGTTCTATAAGTGTGTGTGTGTGCGGTGTTCCCACCACCGCCCATGTGTTCTATAAGTGTGTGTGTGTGCGGTGTTCCCACCACCGCCCATGTGTTCTATAAGTGTGTGTGTGTGTGTGCAGTGTTCCCACCACTGCCCATGTGTTCTATAAGTGTGTGTGTGTGTGCGGTGTTCCCACCATCGCCCATGTGTTCTAGAAGTGTGTGTGTGCCTGTGCAGTGTTCCCACCACCGCCCATGTGTTCTATAAGTGTGTGTGTGTGTGCAGTGTTCCCACCACTGCCCATGTGTTCTAGAAGTGTGTGTGTGTGTGCGGTGTTCCCACCACCACCCATGTGTTCTATAAGTGTGTGTGTGCGGTGTTCCCACCACCGCCCATGTGTTCTAGAAGTGTGTGTGTGTGTGTGCGGTGTTCCCACCACCGCCCATGTGTTCTAGAAGTGTGTGCGTGTGTGTGTGTGGGCGCGGGCGTCTGGCAACCCGGTCTCCCCGAGGCCTGTGGCTCTGTAATTGGGTTAACGCCCCCGCACGGTCTGCAGGAACAATCCCCACGGCTGAGAGGTGTCCCGCAGCGAGCCTGTCTGGTGTAATGCACCCAGACGGGGGCCCCTCACTAAAGACGTAATCCCCCCCCCCCATAATTCCTGGATCGTCTTCCCTCTTTAATGAAGAAGATTGACTGACGCGTGTTTGCTGGCCAGGTGCCCTCCATCCCTCCCTCGGTGTGCTGGGGCGAAGTGTGGGTACACCCACCGATTGCAAGATGTCTGGTCGGCGTGGAAGAGTAGGCCTGAAATATCCCCTGGAGAAGAGGGGGCCCTCTAGAGCAAGCAATTGCAGGGTTGCACCTTTACCCCTCGTTTGAGTAAAGACTGCTTCTGCAGTTGAACACGGTGCTGCTGGTGGTGGTGGTGGTGACGATGTGGTCATACTTATTAACTTCAAATTGAAACGGATAACATCACCGTCGTCGTCACCATATTCCCATCGTTGCTCGCCATGGTTTTATGTGAATATGCTTTGGGATCAATCCTCGTTTTGATGAACAGCGTTGCGCTTCTGATAGAAATTGTTACTTGGTTTCAGTCGACGAGGTGCTGCCCCCCTCACCCCCACCTCACCGCCCCCCCTTCCCCCCACCCCCCACCGCGTGTCCCTCGTCTCACTGTTAGATTTGGACCGTCGCGAACCGTCTAAATCGGCTTTTTAAGGAGAGCCACTCGTCAGAGGTCCCGGCGTGTTTAGATTTGCCGAAGAGACGCACCCGGCCAGGGGGGGGGGGGGGCTCATCGGTGGAGCGAGAGCGGCTCGCAAAACCGTAAGGTTGCGAGTTCACATCCTGTTTGGGGGGTTAGCCCGTAGCGAATGGCCGTGGTGGCGAGACGTTAACTACCCCGCCTGGTATGCAGGAGGTCACGGGTGTATAGTTAGAGTTTGCGTGTCTGTCTCCCCGCGGTCGCGTGGATTTTTCTCCGGGTCCTCCGGTTGTTCCCCTCCACATTTAAAATCAACGTCACGCTTTCAGAGTGTTTGGCTGCTATGCAATTCCACGTGACGATGAGCCACTTCTTTGGGATATAATTTACGGCCCAGGTCATTTTCTGAAAGAGCTTTATAGCTCAGTGGGGCTTGCCTGGTAAAATAAAAATAGTTTTTTTTTAATTTAGTTTCGAATTGCCTCCGGGAATGTTAAAATGAGTATCACCTTATGGTTGTCATTCCATCACAGGAATGTGGAATGTTTTTACGACTGGCTGATTGTGCTCTCAACAGGATATTGAGCATCGCGCCTCGTTGCTCGTTCGAGTAGAAACTCCCTTCTGACTATATATTTTAAAGAGACCCTCTCCGCTGCACTCGATGGGCCCGCTTGTCCATCCCCATTCCCCAAGGGAACGCCGAAGCGGAGTGCACCGAGGATATTTGTACTGTGTGTGTTGAACTCCTTTCATCATCATCATCATCACCACCACCAGCATCAGCCTTGATCAATCCACTGCTGTGAATGTCCAAATGATGTGCCGCTTTTGTTGAGCAATCACTTTGTGGCCAAGTTGCTTCTAAGAAAATAAGTTAATAGCTCAAGTGGGCTTTGCCTGGTAGGATGATGGTTTAGTTTTATTTATATATTCTTTATTTATGTGTTTGGGTGATTTGTTTACCTTGTACTTTGCACTACTGTCATATTTTTTATATTGGTTGTTGTAACGTTCCTACACAACCCTACTGTTAAAATAGCTTAATAGCTCATCAGATTCCTCCAGTATAAATAAACATTCTGAACCTGCAACTGTCATTGGATTGGTATATTTCATCATCACCACCAGTCATGATTAATCCACTGCTGGATGAAGGCCTCCCCAAGCGCTCACCATCTCTCACGCTCCTGCACTTAGCAGCTAGCTACAAGCCGATGTTAGCACCTCATCTGAACTGATGATGTCCTGTTGGATGCATTCTATTCCTTTATTACCGCTCCTTCACTGCTCGAGACTGTCAGCCATCATCCCTTTTTGCGAGGTGTCTTGTCCCCAAGCCCACTTTCACAGTTATAACGATGCAATTAACCTGCGAATGTTCTCTCATCCATGTTGCTCCTCATATGTGCACGTTGAACTTCTTTTGCACCGTACATAGGCAACTGCGCTAAATCAGAGGTGCGGGGGGAAAGGACAACAACCTTGGGTCTCTGTGTGCGAGTCTATCGGTCTGTGCGTGTCTGTGGGTCTCTATGCGCGTCTGTGGGTCTCTGAGCAAGTCTGCGGGTCTCTGTGCGTCTGCAGGTGTCTGAGCGAGTCTGCGGGTCTCTGAGCGAGTCTGCGGGTCTCTAAGCGAGTCTGCGGGTCTCTGAGCGAGTCTGCGGGTCTCTGAGCGAGTCTGCGGGTCTCTGAGCGAGTCTGCGGGTGTCTGAGCGAGTCTGCAGGTCTCTGAGCGAGTCTGCAAGTGTCTGAGCGAGTCTGCGGGTCTCTGAGCGAGTCTGCGGGTCTCTGAGCGAGTCTGCGGGTCTCTGAGCGAGTCTGCGGGTCTCTAAGCGAGTCTGCGGGTCTCTGAGCAAGTCTATGGGTCTCCGTGTGAGTCTGTGGGTCTCTGAGCGAGTCTGTGGGTCTCTGCGAGTCTGCGGGTCTCTGAGCGAGTCTGCGGGTCTCCGTGTGAGTCTGCGGGTCTCTGAGTGAGTATGTATGTTGAACTTCTTTTGTAGCGTACGTAGCCAACCGCGCTAATTGGAGGTGCGAGGGGAAGGGACAACAAACTAAACACGCACGCAAAAAAGATCTTAAAACGCTCAGCGGTGTTGCGTGTTGTGCGCAGGTCGCTCGGCATGCCAGAGTCCGCGGCCGGTGGTCGCATTTGCACAACCTGCTACACCTGGCTGCGGCTACACCTGACCACCTTTGCGGCTCACCAGCTAGCGCCACCACCACCGGGGGGGGGAGGCCCCATTTGGCGAGCGACGGTGGCTCCCCAACTCCCACAAGACGCGGCAACGCCCCCCCCACCCCCCACCTCGCTGGCATTTGGCACCAACTTTATTCTCAAGATTTATACCACACGT